ATGATTTAAGGTAGAAGATAATAGAGGCTGGACCAGATTAAATGCCGTAAGATCATCCAAGAAGAGAATTACCTGTAAGACTCTGGACAAGTCACCTAAATTCTAAGGCTATCTGTAAAATGAAGCGATTGTACTCAACTTCTAATGTCCCTTCCAACTCCAAACATCTTATGATTATGAAGCATCATGGTGGAGTTAATACAAGCTGGGCCTTTACTTAGAAAACTGTCTGATATGAGGGACACAAGTGCTCTAGATATGGGTTCTCCATCAACTTCCAGAAGCAAAAATCTAGTCAGTCGACAAGCATTTATTAAGTGCTTACTACATGCTAGATACTGTGCTAAGTGCTGGGGAAACAGGCAAAACCAAGCCCTGTTCTCAAGGAGCTTCAACAGCAGTTGACTGAAACAGTGTGTGAGGAGGGAATATTTCAAAATGGCAGGGGGTGGGGGGAATAGAACGGAAAGAAGGTCAAAACAGAGAAAGAATCTGGAGAGGCAGAGGGCATCCTACGACCTCTGTCAGGCAGGTTAGATGGTAGAATGTGACAAGGGAGGAAAGTAAGGAGGGTGTACAGAGAATTGCAGGAGCTCACTGGAGTTAAGTAATAGGTATAAGGGTCTACTGGCAGCAGGAAGCAATGGGATCCTCTGAAAAAGCAACAGCTAGTTTGCTCCAAGGAATGATATTATACAGATACCATCAGAAAAGGAATAATGCAGTGTCAGAGGAAGAACAGAAAAAAGGAGAGGTCACTGATGATGATGACTCTTTGCAGGAATCATAAAAATCTATCTATCAACCCAGTGTTTTCTAACAGAAAAGCCTGCTTCCGTCTTGGAGGATATAAACAAGACGCAACACCCTCTCAAGACTTGTCAAACCCAAGAACCACATTGGTGCTTCAGGCAGACACAAACAATTATGTTTAAAAGGCTCCAAAAAGAATTGCTATAAGCTATAGTCCTGGGCAAGAAAATGAAGCCATTCAAGGCACGAGTTGTATGTCTATCCCTATTAGCCATTTGAAGGCAGGAGCATTGGAAGAGAATGGTAGGTTTGGGAAGTGAACAGTTCTTAAGAATGAAAACAGTCTTTGTATTTCTAAACTGTAGATTAAAATACAGGTTTGATGAGGGACGATCAGGGATGGAATGAACCTAACAAGGTAAGAGTGTATTTGCCTAAGATCTTGCGAATCTGGTAAGGAGGGCTTAAAACTGAAAAAAGGAAGAAGAAAACTGCTTCCATTTATCCATCAAGCTTGCCGCTGTTTGTCTTTCATTCTTGAAGAGAACCAATGACATCAGAAGGGAGATGCCTTGACTTGCAAGTGGACTGAATTTAAGTGAGGCAGGGCTATGCAAAGTCACCAGCCTCACTCTCTCCTCCAGGATCATGAGTCCAGTGGCAAGACAACTGGAAATTACCCCAGTTACAGCAGGAGACCTTGGTCCTTTGTCAGCTACAGTCTTTCCCAGGTCTCAGTTTGTCCGAGGCAACACCTATTGAGTGATTTAAGGCTAGATCGAGCTAGATAACACTGAAAAGAGCAAGTATATAGCACAGTAGAGGTGCTTAGTAATTCACAGAAGACAAAAATCAAGAAAGAAGCCATTAGTAAAACCCAGAGTCTCAGATTTTTATATGCAAATGAAATAAGCAAGGCAAACTAGAGGTCCTAACATGAGGACAATAAATTATCTCATAGGTAACTACTGATCCTCAGTGAAGTGGGCTTTATGACTATAATATCGCTATGCAAGGGAATATATCTCATTCAAAAGGAACAGAAGAGGTGAAGAAACACTCACAAGAGGACATAAAAGAGCCCAAAGTATGAGACATGTTAGAAAGCATCTGGATGAAGATCAATGGAGGCGGAAATAGAAGTCATATTGTTGGCATGTGTAACAGGAAAGCGGAACAGAAGGAAATAGATGACTAAAGGAAACAGATCACAAGCTTAGTAAGGGAGCATGATCAAATCGGGGTAAGGAAATTCTAATACCTGGGCATTTGCTACAGCTGTCTTATAACTCATAACAGAGCCCTTAATTTAATTCTTGGCATGCTATAAAATCAGACACAGCTGACATGTTAGTTGGTTTTGCCCAAATGCTTTTTCCATCTTAGCTAACTGGTAGCTATGGTTAATCCTAAGTCAGCTTCTCTACCCTAAATCCGTTACACATGGTTTTACTCACAACTGGTTATTTCTGAGGCCAAAAGAGACTTCTTGTTGCTTAGTTGTTTGCAGTCACATACAACTCTTTGGGACCCCAACTGGAGTTTTCTTGGCAGAGGTAACTTCAGTGGTTTGCCATTTCCTTCTCCAGCTCATTTTGCAGATGAGGAAACTGAAGCAAACGGGGTGAAATGACTTGCCCGGCGTCACACAGCTTAAGGTCACATTTGAACTCGGGTCCAAGAGACCTCTACCCACTAACCCACTAATAATAGTGTTAATAATAGCTAACATTTATTCTAGGTAGCAGGCACTGTGCTAAGTGCTTTATACCAGCTCATTTTGTCCAGACAACCACCCTGGGAGGCAGGTGACTTGTCATGGGTTACACAGCTAGTACTAAGTGTCGGAGGTGGGATGTGACCTCGGGTCTTCCTGATGCCAGGCCCAGTTTCTGATCCTTCCCACTATCTCCACTTGGATTCCTATCACATCAAACACCTATCATTTTCTCTCCTCCTTCACCAAACCCAGCTCCTTTACCTATTTTCACCATTCCTATAGCATCTTCCCTATTCCAGTTATCCAAGCCAGTGGTATCAAACTCAGATGGAACAAGGGCCACTTAACCATACATAAGGATTCTGTATATTGACTGAGCAAACCACGGACAAGTATTACCCATTTTTTATTGTATTTTTATTTGTTAACTATTTCTCAATTACATTTTAATCTAGTTGGGGCCCACGCTAGAAAGTGTTGTGGGCTGCGGGTTTGACACCTCTGATTTAGGCTACAGACCTGAAATTTCTCATTCTTCTCTTTCATCCTTTGTCCAACCAACTATGAAATCTTTCTGATTCTTCCTTCTAAATGTTTCTCAAATTTGATCCCATTTTCTCCATTCATGTCATTACCTTTTAGCTGGACTGCATGCAAGACCACCAGAATTCAGATGATCTAACTTCAAATCCTGGCTCTGATATCTACTAGATTGGCAAATCAACACCTTTGAGTTTCAGCTTTCTTATCTGTAAAATGGGAATATTATCTGTATTGCCTATTTTCACTTTTTTAAATAAGACTGTATAAATCTTGAAGCACTATTATTCCTTTTTTTTTTTTGTGAGGCAATCGGGGTTAAGTGACTTGCCCAACGTCACACAGCTAGTACGTGTCAAGTGTTTGGTCTGAGGCCAGATTTGAACTCAGGTCCTCCTGACTTCAGGGCCAGTGCCCTATCCACTGCGCCACCTAGCTGCCCCCACTATTATTCCTTTGAACTATACTGCATATGCTGAGCTCTGCCAGATTAGGAAGCAGATAGGTGGCATAATGGATGGATGGCTGGCCTTGGACACAAGATAGACCAGAATTCAAATCCTGCCTCAGGCATTTAAATTGCTGTGAGACCTTGAAGTTACTTGAACTCTCAGCCTCAGTGTTTCTTATCCATAAAATGGGAAACTAGCACCTACCAGAGTTGTGAGAATTAGGTGAGATAACATAAGTAAACCTTAAGGCACTATATAAATGCTAGTTATTATTATCATTAATTCTCCTAATGCATAATTTTCATTGCTAAAAAAGCTAAAACAATCTTGGGCAACAGTAGAAAAGTATTGTGTCCCATTTACAAAACTATAGTCTCATCATATTTTTCACTGATCACATCATATCTGGGGTGCCATGTCAAACTCTAGGTACATTAAGGTCACTGAGAAATCAAAATGAATCCAGGATGGCAACCTGAGTAATGAAGAGTCTGGAAATCATGCTATACAAGGAATGGTTTAAGGGAGTAGGAATGTTTTGTCTGAATGAAAGATGAAAGTGAAGACACGAGAGCTCTCTTCAAATATTTTGTGGGCTATTACATGGAAGCACTACAATGTGTGGAGTTGACCTCGGTCTAATAGTTGATAGTTATAGAGAGGCAGACATTGCTCAACATAAAAAAAAACAAAAACTGATCACTAAAATTCTTCAACAGTGAAATGAGCAATGACCTTCCTCATCACTGGAAGTGCTTAGATGGAAAGTGGTTATCCATCAAATCAGTTATAAAAGGAATTCTTGCATCGGGAGGTGGTTAAACTGGATGGCCAACACGACTCTGACATTCTATGTCACCACTCTGCTGAAAAGACTTTTAGTTGGTTCCACATCAAGTCAAAATGCCACTGCCTCACAACCAAAGCCTTCTATAATCTGCCCCCACTCAATCTTTAAAAAAATTATTATTTTTTTTTACTATTCCATTAAAAAGTCCCCTTGGTATGGGTCAAACCACTTTTCTCATTATGTTCCACTCTAACTTCTGCCTTTATCCATTTACCCCTCTTCTCTGGCTATTCAATCCTGCCCCAGTCCCACTTTTCCATGAAGGAATTCCCAACTATAACAATTCCCACTCATCTCTCCTATTTTTGCACTTCTTATCAGCACTGAGGAATTATTTAGTGTCTCTTTATTATCTAATTTACTGTCTCATGTTTATTGGACTGGACCCCAACTAAACTCCAAGTTCTATGAAATCTGGGACCACCTGTGACATTTCTCTTGCATCTACCAGAGTAACGCAGCACACTTTCATCGACCAATTTGTAAAATTCAAAGCTGGTTAATCTTTCGTAACTGGTTCACAGAAAAATCACTACTAACATACAGACAGTGTGAGTTCAATATACAACAAGAAATTAGCATTTTAAACAAAAAATTACTCAAAGTATCAGAGATCTGAAATTCTAAAGTAATGAGCTGCCCCCTCATGTGGCATACCAGAACTAGAAGAGAAAGCAAACACACATCTTCAATCTAACATTTATTTAGATTTTTTTTGCAACTATAAATTACAATCACAAGTACACCTGCAAATCTTTGTCTTAGTTTGTTCAACTAAAGTTTTACATAAGCATACACAGAATGTGTCAGTTTGAAACAAATCACAGTACTCCTTAATGCGTTTTGCAAAAGAGGATAAAAGATCTTGGACCCAAATCCTTGGAAATAAATATCAAGTGACCATAAAAAAATTCAGCCATTTTAGTTATTCAGTGAAGTTCATGCATACTCAGTGTAGAGAATTAAAGTTCCTCCTTGAAATATCCCAGTTTTGCCAATGACATCTCTTTTCTCAACTGCATAACTTCCCAAAACATCTGATCAACTGCACAGAAGAGAAAAAAAAGGACACACAAATCATTAAAGACCACCCTAAATTCTAATTTAATCTTTCACTGAAGCACATTTGAAACCAAAGGATTAGTTTAAACTCCCATCACTAAGGTTTGTCTCAAGAAATCTGAGCCTGCATGCTTCTCTTCATTAAAAACTATTCATTATTTTAATTCATTTTTTGATAGTTGCAGTTAACACTTAAAAAATAATTATTAGAGTAGACATGCCATAGCATTTTAAGTATGATCCAACTTCATCAAAAATTAATGCTATGCTTGTATTATAGTACTATTTATATTAAAAGTTACTTTGTTCCAAGAAGAAGGAGACACTTCAAAGTCATCTGACATATAAATGTTGTCATCATCAACAATTAAAATTAATACTCGATTACTCAAGAACTTATTATCTAATTCTTAGATCTCGTTCTGGCTGGCTACCTCCTGGCCATTTCTGAATATCTTTATTAGAAAGTAAGCAAGAAAAAAAGGAAACTCAAATTCAGTGTGGCTACTCCTAAGTACAGTGGTAAAAGGTTTATTATTGAATCAAACTGATGACAAAAGTTAATTGAGAGCAATTAATTATCTGTGGATTTAAATTACCCATATTCTTCTATTACAAAGGCTAAGCATTGGTTCTATAGTTGAGGCAACCCAGGATCTTCATTTTGTTTCTAATGACAATGGATTGAAAAATTTAATAGATTTCTCTTCCACGTACAAGGACACAAAATACTATGGAGGGGAAGGGTTAAAAAAAGCAATAGTATCACCTCTTCCCCTGAATTCATCTCCTATGCTTTCAACCTTCATGAGAAAAAACAAACTAAACACTTTTCAGTCTTCACCGTTAACAAAAAAATTTCTGTAGAGTTTTAAACAAAAAAAAAATAAACATTCAATTTTATGTAAAGTATTTGTTTTTCAACTTAGAAATGGTCTTTGTCTTTGCTAGTCTAGTCCTATGAATAGGTATCTGACAATCTTTCAACATGAGAAGTATCACACAATCTATCACACAGAAACCTAAGCATAGTGACACAAATTTTTAATATGACAATCCCCCAGATATCATTTACATAGTTCAACCATTACAATTCTAACTGTATAGGAAAAACACATGAAAATACCCAAGCCAAGAAAAGGATAGTTTAGTTTTGAATTAGCATGTTTTGTTTCATACAACTTGGTTCATCTGGATGAGAAGTGACAAAACACCACTATTTATTTATTTCAGGGATAGGAAGATTTTCTGTCCCCAGCAAAAAATGAACAGGTAGAAACCCATAAATTGAATTTCACCCAGTATAAAATTAATATGACCTTGGCAGACTGCAATGATGAGCTAGTTTTAGGATAGTAATATCCAATTTGTGAGACTTTTCTTGGGTTTTAAGACCACATTCAACTTTTTAACTTGAAACTTGAATAAACTGAGAATTACTAATAATTACTAATTAACAAGAAAGACTATATTAAAAATTAACACACTTGCTTGAATTTGGCTCTCCCAGGTATATCATCTGCACGTCTCTCCTGATTTAGAAAACAGTAATCTTTATTCCATTCAGTACTGTCCTCACAAAGGCTTTACTAAATTTCATACATGTAAGCAGAAAATATAGAAAAAAATGTATTGTTAGCTCTTTCATGGTTTATGACCAATTAAAACAAATTCTAGATTCTGCTCCATTCCTTGAGAGGCAGAAATTCAATGGGCTATGTACTCCCCTCATGTATACTGACTTATCACACCACTGAAGAGAAAACTGCTTCTGTCTAGAGGCAGAATGATTAAAACAAAACAAAACAAAAAACCTATGCACTTAATTACAAATTTACATATCAGTTTATTGGTATTTAAGAAAACTCAAGAAAATGCCAACATTAGCATTCCTTCTTGTTTCAGCATTATTACTAGGGAATAAAAATATATTCCAAATTTTTGATGCATAGTTGAAGGCAAGCATTTGCTAAGGTAAGTACTCACCATCCTGCTGTTTCACAAGTCCCTGCTGGATATAGCGAATGTATGTAAAAAAGTTACACACTGATGTGATCTAAAACCAAAATAAAAATGTCACAAAAGGTCAACACGTTATATGTAGGTGTACATATGAGATAAGTTTGAATAAAAGTTATGGCAAATTACATACCCTGTATCTGCAAAAAGGAGAAATGTAGTAGTAATTGCTTGAGTCTCCTAATTTAATTCTGTGTTTGCATGACTTACTCTGACCACTGAGAGCACATTTCCTGTAAAACAATTACAACCTAAGTTATTTAGTGTTGAAAGCAGCTACCCCTTCCATCCCATGTAGAAACGATAATATTTAGCATAACAATGTTGGATGTAACAATGTTTGGGATTTTCTGAAATCCAACATAATGATAATTTTCATTGTGTATTTTTGTTATTTTTGTAACAATCTCCACACAAAGAAAACGGAAGTAAAACAGTGAGGTTTGTATTATTAAAGTGTTAGACCAGACTCCTAAGTAATGTGATCTCTAATGCTAATTGGCAGGTGATACTCTGCAGACAGTTTAGAAGTAGAATACAGGTGGTATGTTTGGCCTCAGGGGAAGGAATGCTGTGGGGAGTTCAATTCTATCACATCCAGAAATGAATTAAGGCTTTAGTAACTGGCTGCAAAAGGATTTCCATCTGCTTGGTTAGTGACAGTAGAGTTGCCTACAGGGCAAAAATGAGAGATAAACAAAAGGAGAAAAATAGGACAGTACTCAGCTTTCCATCTGGGGTACAACATATTCCTTTCTTACATGAAAAATTAATCATGGCTCCAGTGTTTGTTAAAATATAATTAATCAGAAGAACTTCAAGTTAGGATTTGGATGACAGTAAAGATAAAACATTTGGCTACATTTTAAGGCCTAAATTATTAGGTGTGGATTTAAAGAGCCAACTGCAAAGAAATTATATGTATCCTATAGTCTGATGATGACACAACAAACCAATACTTTCATTTTGAGGATACTTTTGGCATAATGACTAATCTAAAGAAGTACAGCCATATGATGATGATGATAATAGCAGCTAACATTTATACAGGACTTTAAGGTTTGCAAAACACTTTACATATTATCTCATCTAATTCTTACAATAATTCTGTGCAGTAGGGGCCACTAACCTCATTTTACATACAAGGAAACTGAGTCTGAGAGAAGTTAAGTGACTTGCCCAGATTCACATAGCTACTAAGTGTCTGGGGAAGGATTCAAACCCAGGTCTACCTGTCTCCCTCCTCTCATTCACTCCATCCACTCTGGCAAGCTCCCTCCCAGTAAATAATATTAAACAGCTAAAGCTGTATGTACTGATATTTCAATTATGATCAAAAAAGAAAAAACCACTCAACAGCCTATATGGATGATTCCCTGGTTACTCCAAAGGGCACACCTATAGCCACAAATGGATCTATGATTCCATTGATCTGGGAGTTCCCCAAAATGACACAGATCACAAGCCACGCACGTGGCTCATCATCCAGTGACTCCCGTTGACAACCTCCCTAAAGTTCAACGACAGGGACTCCACCCAATGTGCTGGAGGCCTCCTCCTAACATCAGGAGAGTAAGCATGGAAGACTCTTGCCACCCTCCTGTCTGCCATGCCTCCCCATGGAGCTGGGCCACATCCTCATCCTGTTACGCCTCTCCTTGATGCCATCTTTTGGATCTCTTTTTCCTCAGAATTCGTCACTGGAAATACACTACGCCTGCCCACTCCCGCCACGTGCCTCCCACTACCGATGGCGTGACGCTCACCTTTAGTTTTTTTGGAGGCAGGGCTGTTCCAGGTTTTGCTGCCATAGAACCACAACATTAAAATGTTGGTATTAAAGAGATGGGTCTTTGCTGAGGTCAGTAAAAGTGCTCTGCAATTTCCTAAAAGAAATCCAGCCCATCTCTTCCTCTTTTTCAACCCTGGGTCCAGGGCTCTGTCTGTCTATATCGTCTGTCCCAAAAATACGAACAATCTCTACAGGGTTCTATCCAAGTTTAAGCTGACATCTGAGCAAGAGACATTTTTCAGCCATATAGTCTTGCCTTGTGTGGATGGACACACCAAATTCCTCTGAGTGACTACAGATCTCTGAAAAGCTCTGAAATGCGGTGAGGCTTAATGCAGTCGAAACAACCATTAAGCATCATCCACAATCAGGAGCATGGAGAGGCCTTTCCCATCCCGGTAATCCTCCCTTGACCTGGACTCTTTCCTGAAGCCCCTCCACGGTAAATACAATGAGTGATCACAATCTTCCCTATTTTATGCCTCACTTGGTGTCTATTAATGGACGTCACTGAATATTCTGTTGTTACATCTTCCGAGGAAACTCATCCTGCTCTATAGATGGGAGACAATTTTTTCTGAAAGAGCTCCTAAGAAGACATTTCACTCTACCAAGTAGGATGCTTTTTTTTTTCTTGGCAATCAACCAAAGGGGGACCTTCAATGGTAAAGACGTGGTCTGTTGTTGAATACTGTTTGCCTACTTGTTTCACACAAATCTGCTTACTGAAAATGTCTTCAATCCATCTATACGTGACTCATAAAGATTGCGTAAATGGGAGAGCAGTTGTTGATATTTTTTGATCACTTGTTTTTTGGAATTAATAAGATCTGAGATATTTTCCACATCTTTGGTACTTTCCCCTCCCTTTAAATACTTGGTAAATTAAATTGATCTCTCAATGCCCTTACAATTACACTGACTCCAAAATTAGTCTCACATTATATTTCCCACTGTATTCCTTCTCTCTCTCCCTAGTCTAGGTCTTCTTTTAAGTAGCTAATTACCTATAAGAACCCTAAAATTTTCAATTAGATCATAAATAAAGGGATTTTGGGTTGGATATTTTGAAAAGGCAAGAATTTGTAATGTGAATAATCACATTCCAAATTTATCTCATTCTGGATAAAGTCAGATTTTCCATTGATTTCACTAAAGAGAAACACACCTGTACAGTATTTCATGTTTACAGCCCTGGGGTACTCTGGGTATGATGACATGAAATACTATGTAGGTATTCCACAGGAGTCCTACTCTGCTGCATCAATCTGACAGGGAAGTGATCCTGGCTTTTCAAAGGCTATGACAGAGAAGACAGGGCAACCTCTAGCAGGTTCTCCCGTGTTGGAAAGGCTTCAAGTACAGCCCGTAAACAGACTGAGAACCAGCCTTGCTAATCACAGAAAGGTTTATCACCTACATGCTACCCACCTCCTAATGACCTTTTTTTTTTTTTGGCAAAGGCAACCCATGAAACAAAGAAAAATATAAAATATAAATAAAATATAAATATAAAATATGAAAATATAAAAATATAAAATGTCCTGTGCCCTAGACCTTCTGTTTCTGCAGTGATGGTGGCCAAATGGAGGAAAAGGAGGCAGAGGGTACTAAGAATCACATAGTTTCTGGACATCAACACACATTCGTTAAACCACTGTAAGTTAACTGCTACAACAAAGAGACCAAAAGAGTGGAGAAAATGCTTTTAGTCAGCAAACATCTGACTTACTTGCCAAATGGAGAGATATGGCTGCCAAAGGCAACTCTAGGTTAGACTATAAATTTGTAAACTCCTACAAAGAAAGCAGATAATCGTGAATGGCTGCCTCATAAAACAGAGTGAAACAATGAAAGGTAAAACCAGTCTAAAAAAAGCAAGATTCCAACTAAGCTAAGTCATGTTCAAAGATAAAAATGAAAAAGGACTAAAAACAAAAGAAAAAAATGGAAAAGATTTGCAAAAATGATTACAACAAACTATTTTCTCTATTAAGGACAAGAACTACCATTAATATTATGTCTCTAATATCACAGTCCATGAGGTGTTTACAGAAAAGTATAAATAGCATATGATGTATAAAAAATAATAAATAAAAAGCATAAATGTTCTCTTTAGGGAATAAAGCAGACAAACTGGATCAAGTATGGAGAGGAGACTCATGCTGGAGGCAGAATAAACTGTGGGGGCACTGAGGGACCAAATTTATACAAATGTCCCATAATTATTTGCTTTATTGTATCATCGTGTCCTGCGTACAAGCACCACCTATCCTGTCACCTAGATTTCTAAATATTTGAGAACAGGGGCCTCATCTTTTCTTATCTCTTAGAGCAGCTGTTACAGGGCCTTACATACAATACACATTCAAATGCCAATCCCCCAAATCTATAAATAAAGTCTCAATCCAAGCACATTATTGGCAGAAACATATCTGGAGAGGGTACTTGACCTGGGATAGAAGACCTGGATTCAAATCCTGACTTCCCTACATACTATTTGAGTCTTGACCTAAGTTTTCTCATTTGCAAAATTAGGGAACTGACCAGATGATTTCTAAGCTTTTGGTTCTAACATTCTATGATTCTTATTGTACTAATATGGTAAAAATTAAACTTTGGCTGGTAACTCTGCTGTTATTTGAAATTTGTTTTAGCATATATTATATGCATAACATACCCAGGAGCTGAGATGTCCAACTAAACTGCTCCCATGTGGCCCCAATCAGATCAAAATGCAATTGGGAATGATTTGCAAAATAAATAAAAATATGAAACAACACAGATAATCTAATGTGTGGTTTTCTAAGTCAATATGTGAGCCACAGGGATCCATTTCTATGAATTTCACATCACTGCCCTGGAAAGACAAACTAAATTATAACATACAGTAATAATTACAACTTGTGAAAATTTAAGGTATGAAACACAACTGGAAATATTAAGCCCAACTTAAAATTCTTGAGTGTCTACTGAATGTGGGCAATATCCACCCCTATGTTCAAGATTCGATATAAAGTGGCACTAGAATAAATATCAGACTGAGCATCTGGCTTCAAGAGGAAGGGAAGCTCATAAAGACAGAATGAACGCCTCGATGAGCAATCAACAAAATACTACTATGACAATTTACACGCATATTAAATTTCAAAATAAAGCTCCCATCACTGCTATGACACATCTAATTTCCCTCTTCTACCTTGAAAATGGGTCCTACAAAGGGAGAAAACATCTGCTCCAGCTGTGGTTCTGCTGTCCTAAGCTGGGCTGGACCTAGAAAACCAAATGCCATTTTCTCAATGGCTCTCACATCACTGTAAAAAAGGCGCACGAGGGGCAGCAGAAGCTACCTTAGTGATGCTGTGTATTTCTGCTGCTACCCTGATCCTTCGTGGAAAGACCATGTCTGTGAAAGGACTGGGGTGGGGAGAGAAGGGTGACATTTCTCCCTCCAAGTAATAAAAACCACAGAAGGCTTCCTTCTAAGGTTTATGACACCCTAATATGAAATGAGAGGGTTGAAAGAGGTGATCTCTGGTCCCTTCCAGCTCTGATAGTCTATGATTCAGCAGGAGTGGGTACTGAGCAGCGCTGTAACTGGCAGTTTTTCACCTGGGGCAAAAACAGTTGGGAATGGGGGAGAAGAAAGGGACATCAATGGTGAACACAGAACAACATTGGGGGCAGTCATGTTGGCAAAGATGACAGACCATCTCCCAGAGAGTCTGGCCCTTATGCAGGGTTAAGGGATGAGGAGGAAGTCCCCAAGAGAAATGCTACAGTGACAGGGCCTCAGGAGTGACAACATGGGCATGATGTTGCCATATGGTAGGCCAGCAGAGGATTCCTATGCAATGGGGTGGGTATGGTGGTTACAACAGGAAGGAAATCTAATATTTCCCCACTGAAAGGAGAAAGTGTTTCTTCAACATCCCAGACCAAAGGCCCATTCTCTTTGTAGTAGTTATAGTTCTGCTATTTAGCACAGCAGGAATTATTCAAGCATTCATGATGTTAAGGAATAAGACTATTACTTCACATCTCATTTGATAACTTAAGGTTCTATGCCAATCTAAGGGTGACAGAGTCCTTGGGCCACAAGGGCCCATTTCGAAGGAATGACATGAAATCCTCCCATATTAAACACCAACACCACATAAAAATCATTCAATATTTTTCATAATTTATATAACTAGACTGACATACTTTGGTCCTCCACATTCAACTGCAGAAGCTTTTACAAATCGAATAGGTTGCAGTCCCACTGGTTCAATGCTTAGGGTATTGTTTTCCACAGCCTCCAGAACAGCTGAAGCCAACTTAAAAAAAAAAAAGAGAGAGAGAGAGATATCAGCATTTGATGATATGTAGCTATTTTAAAATTCAATCCCCAAATTGCATAGCGTTGGTCCTAAACAAGGAAAAGGAAGAAATGCTACAACCACAGTTAGAATGTAAGCTCTCTGATAATTTCTTTTCTGTATTTTTATCTCCAAAGCCTAAAATAGTACCTAGTACACAGTAGGTACTTAAAAATGTTTAATGATTAATTCAACAATTTTTTGTTCAGATAAAGGCAATTTAATCATTCCTGATATAGAACATTACTTATCTTTTTGATTCAATCCAGGATTATAATTTTGCCCTTTTCAATGTCAATACTTTTTTTTTAACTATGTGTTTTCTGCTATATTTGTACACAAGGTTTTATAAAAGAATAATCAGACATTATGTGTCCTTACGCACAGAGCAAAACAGTCAGTACCATGAAGAGATGGATAAAGAGCCACATACCTTTTCTTCTAAAAAACTCAAAAAGTACAAGATTATGATTTCTTCAAATTTCAAACAAACAAAAAAAAAACCTATATACCCTCTTGACTGAGTGTGTGTGTGTGTGTGTATGTGTGTGTGTGTGTGGGAATGGCTAGACCACAGCCACTGCACAGAGCTGCCATGATTATATTTTAGTTGAGTGATTTGTAATGGAACATTGCGAAAGCTTCAGGCACAAATGGTCCTCACCAGGCATTTACATTCATTACTTGTTTATATTTTTGAAGATCTTTCACATTCACTATCCCACACAATCCTCCCAAGAGGCCTATGAGGTAGTTGGGACAGGTGGCATCTCTATTTTATAGATGAGGAATCTATACAAGCCTCTTGGCCTTATATAGACAGAAATTCAATCAAGGCTTTTGATGATGATGTCTGAGCATAAAAGTTAGCATTTCTCTAGGACTAAATCTCAGAACATAAGTCTAATTCCCATTACACATTTAACATTTCATCCCTCAAAAACACATTTCAATGCAAATGACCATCTGCTCAAAATTAGTAAGAGGGCCAGGATTCAACTGTTCAGAATTTACTATGAGACTGTGAGTAAAAAAGAGAGATAAAGAAGGGAGGATCTGTGAGGATCTGTATGGATTAGGAAGGAGGATGGAGTCCAGAGAATTTTGTAAACAAATACATAATATATAAAGCTATATTTAAAATGTGTTTTATGCAAATAATATATTAAAAATGTGGAAAGCACAAAACAATCCTAAACAATCCCATATTTGTACAATACACCCATGTATTCAAACTTTAAAATTTTTTTACCTCACTTTTGGAAAAAGTTAAGCATGGAAATATATCTTCCTGATAAATTTTGTCTAAGAACGGGCATGTCCTGTCCATTGTGGGTTCATCCTTCCAAGATCTGAACTCATTATACAGAGATAAGTCAGCCTAATAAACAAATTCAGAAAACATTTTTTTAAATTCAAACCCCCAATTGGATGTCTTTATAAGTAAAGCCAAAGTAACCACTAACAGCTTTTCATTATTACCATTATGAGGTATGTACATAAAGCAACATGACTGATTTGACAAACATACTGTAACATATAAGCAAATGAATTCTAATTCCTTCATATACATATTTATTCCAAAATTTCTGCAACTATTCAAAGTAGTTTTGGAACCTTTCCTTTGGGACTGCCTTCAGATCTTATACTCCATTCTTTTGAATGTTTTTAAATGCCACATCTGTGCAATACAACTGATTTATGAAAAAGTCAAAATTAATTTAGAGCCACATTTAGCTAATAAAGTAGGCTTTGCAATGTATATAAAGTGTTTCTTGCAAACATTAGAGAATGATAAGTGTGGGCTATCATTACATCATTTTTTGTCATTTATATGACCAAAAAAAAAAAAAAGATATGCCTATAAAGGAATGGAAGAGATTTAAGACTCATTATTTCATAGTCATTCCTAGTAATTTCCATTTGGCATTATCAGTAATAATTAACCCTGGCACCTCTTCGTTTATTCTCCCAATACTAATAGATGTTATCTAGGTTGTTTTTCAAACTACTAAGACTTCCTCACCTCATCTTTTAACTACAAAGAACCACAGCTCTCCCCCACCATCCATATCATGTACACTTAAACGCTGTCCACAGAATGCAAATTTAGAGCTGGAAAGGACCATGAAGGTTCCTTCTCATAGTCCAATCTCATTATTTACAATGGAGAAATCTAAAGCCCAGAGAAGTTAAGTGACTTTTCACACAAGGTCACCAAGATAGTTAAGTGCCAGAGGCAGAATTTAAGCCTCCTTCTCTTGACTCCTGGAGGGCTCTCTCCCACACTACAGTTTTTCCTACCAAGTCCAGAATACTGAGAACATCATCAGAACCATACTGACTTTGAGATTTATTCACCTGAACTACATCTAATCCATGTGCAGATAACTGAAGGCTAATCGCACCTGCCAGATATTTCAATGATGACATAATTGTCTACATTCTTTCAAGCTGTAATACAATGATCTCAACAGTTAATTTTTTTTCTTCATCCCTATTTCTCAACTCTTTTGATTATGATGAAAGGCAAAAGAATGCATGACAGAAAATGTCTAAGTTAAACAATACTTCCTTCAACATTTCAAAAGATTCATGATTTCACTGATGGGAACTACTCTTTACCAACACATATGGCAACACTTCATTTCTTAGCAGAGTGTTTCATGAATTGCTACATCCAAACTCCCACCAAAACCCATATTATGTCCAACCTTCTGATAAGAGATTTTGAAATTTAGCTAAGTTGGTCCTTCAACAATAATACACTGCTGAGCCTACGTAGTAAAACCATTTCAGCATGGCAGAGCCTACTAGGGCTTGTATTCCACTAGCACAGCTTTCAAGAACCTAGAAGATGCTCCAAACCACAAAAAGGGGCCAAAATTCGGTTTTAAACGAAGGAAAATATACTTGTAAATTTTTTTTTCTTAAAAAAAAAAAAAAAAAAAGACCCCATCAGGCACCTAAGTGCCAAAGTAGTACCACATATCCCAGAGAAAGCTTGTGGCCTAAGGAAGTCATTTACAAATTTTGTGAGGTTACAACACCAGAAAAGCTTTCAACTAAGTAGTCTGAACACAATAAAGCCAGGGATCTTCTGTCTTACATATGTGTTTACATTAAAGTCATAGTTAAATGTGATCACAATATCTTGTGGACAAGGATAAGTTTTGTGCTACTTATCAGATTAGTATATCTGTTCTAGATATTAAGACTTAGGTCAAATTTATAGATTTCCTTTGTCTAATACTTTTCTTTTACAATTTTGTAAAACCTCAACATGTATGCTAAATAAAGTTTATACTTTATTCATTATTTATTTTAAATGAGAATATACTTATACATATAAAAACTTTACAAATGCATCCAAATAATGGTAGTTAAAGATAACCTTCAACATTAAGTAAACAATGGGAGAAAAAAAGATATATTTAAACATTATAAAAATCAATAAGAAGAATGCAAATGTTACTAGGACTATGTATTAGTTAATGTGCTACACAATGGAAAATTTAGTCTAAATTCAACAAAATTAAGAGTAACAAATTTAAAACAATTTCTTAAATGTACAGTAGAAACCAATGCAACAAATTCTATAAAATGTTTATTTTCAAACTCTGAAGCTGTATGCCATCCATAGATTTGCCCAAATGCTGACTTTTCTTGTACATTTCCTATTACCATTTTTTTTAAATAAAAAAGATACACATATTTTTCGTTATTAGTGTCATCCTTTTTTTTCCCCCTAAAATGCTATCCAATAAAATGAAATTATACCAGCTTTGGTTATTCAACTACTAGCCTCTGCCTGCAAACTTAACTGAACAAGGGTAACCTTACTCCCACTAAGGAATAATTCAAAAACCTGATTTGCAGCTTCAAAAATACAACTCTCAAGTTGACAAAACCATCTACTATTAGGCCCATTTTCTAGGAATGATGTGACAGTTAATATGAGAATAACAGCTCTAATCTAGGTCCCAGGACCTAATTTCAGTGACCTGCTGAACTCTGATAGTTCTACATCTCCCCAGTTTTTAGAAAAAAATTCAAAATGTAAAATCACACAACTTGGGTGGGTTGAAGAAATCTTAATTCTACAAGTCTTGGGACAGATAGGTGGCGCAGCGGATACAGCACTGGCCCTGAAGTCAGGAGGACCTGAGTTCAAATCAGGCCTCAGACCAAACACTTGTCACTAACTAGCTGTGTGACCTTGGGCAAGCCACTTAACCCCAATTGCCTAAAAAAAAAAAAAAAAAATTCTGCAAGTCTTTTTCGCTTTAAGACTCAGCACTAGCAATAAAATTACTTTCATCCAAGACAATTTCAGTCAGCCACTCTTCATTTACATGACACAAAAAACATAAAGATTTTTCCTAACTGAAATAGCAAGATTCAGAGACTTACCAAGATTCCAGTTGGTATTCCAAGGTCAGCCAGAAGAGAAGGAGGCTGGAGAGTCCCTGAAAGAAGTCAGCTCTACATAAAGCCTCCCCCATATAAATACTGTTTTTTGTACCACAGAATTTGTTGGCAAAAAGCCTAAGTGACATCTCAGTGATGAAAATTAATAAGCATCAAAAGGGCCAGGGGGGTACAGTCCTTGACGAGTTACCTCTTTGCAGTCTTTTACAATAGGTTGCATCACACTGAGGTCCTGATGACTGCTACTCATAGCACTGCTTGTACTTTTATTTCTGGCATGTCCCTTTTTAAAAGGAGCCTTTCCACTTGGCGGAAGCTCTTGAATTGGTGATGTTGGTGAAGTGGACAACACAAGTGTCTTTAAGGCAGCGACTTCTGCTTGAAGTACATCAATCTTGAAAAGAGTGCAATACAATTACTTATCTACTAAATACTTTTGTGACAAATAGAGACACACTTCATCTCCAAGGATAGGGAATTAATTTTCTTCATACATTATACAAAATAGTAGATAGAGGGAAATAAACCCTCTTTTTTGTTGTTATTTTTTTTTTCTGGCTTAGATTCAGCTGTCTTTCAGATTTTCAGAATTCAAATCAACAAATCTAGATGGAAAAAAATCACCGGTTTTTTAAAATTTTAGTTTTGTTTCATTTCCAAAGATTTCAAATTAAAAGTTCAACATCAGTTTTAGTTCATCTCAAAATAAATGATGCTCTCTCTGTTCTGTATTGGTGATCTATTTTCAAGTATCAAATACCAACATAGTGCCTTACACGTAATAGGTGCTCAATAAATGTAAACAGTCACATTTAATGATAGAATATTTGATTATTTAATCCTTTTAGACAACATATAAAATGTATAAAGTAGTTCTAGAAAAGAGTAACTTTGACTCTTAAAATGCCTGAGTAATTTCTATCATTTTTTCTACCGTTAAATACAGCAAAAACTTACCTTTCCCTGTGCTTCTTTTAATTGTTTTTCAGCTGTTGCCTGCTTGATATTAGCTTCTCTCACCATTTTATGAGCTTCCTACAAAATGTTAACATAGTGCAAATTTTGGAATAAAGAATTCTTAAGATTTAATTTTTTAAAAACTTTTAAAGTTACTTTTTACCTAAAGAAGGGTAAAATCTAAATGCCAACTATGGTAATGATAAAGGTACTAATATTGAAAGGTATACTGGAAAAAAAACAGACTGTCATCTTTTGGAATTAATGTGTAATTATGTACATAACATTGGGAATCATTTCTGAAATAAGTATCTCTTTCATAAGTAAATATATCAAATTGTACATCTAACATAAAAATAATAAGGTACAAGCATCATAAATAGATGTAAAAACTGACGGGATCAATTTAATTAACTGAATAAATGTTAGGAATGAGAATATACCCTATATGTCATGGCACAGGTGTCAATTTAGCAGTTTTTTCACTTGTAATTAGTTTTCACATATGGGACACAGCATATACATGCACAAAGAACAAGTAAAGACATAAACACATGAATAAGGATGTAATTTGTAGATAGATATGAATCTGTTTAAAAGGTTTTAGCATGTTAAGTTCTAAAAGGCCAGGAAATTATATAGGAGGCTACTTTGTATTTTATGCATTGGAACCTAAGGCCCTTTAGTTTTTAATTAATAGGGTCTTCTTATATTAGTACCACAGATAAATAACTAATTTGCTCCCTTTCTTTAGTGTACTTACATTAAAAGTAAGAAGACCTCGATTCTGGTCCTAGCATTGCCACTAACCAGGAGTGAGACCAGGGACAAGTCAATTAAACTCTCTAAGCTTCAGTTTCTTCACCTGTAAAATCATAGTACCTGTTCTACATACCTCAGAAGGTTATTATAAGGGCAAAATAATAATGTGATGCACACAATAGGCATTCAATAAATATTTCCTGAATGGATAAATAATAAACAAGAAATGGCTTTAAGGGAAAATAGCAAAACAATATGCAAATTCAAATTACTAGCTATGTAAGGCTTTAAAAGAAGTATATTACAACCTCCTGTCTTTTTAACATTAGAGCACTAGATCTCTGTTTTCATATGTGTATATATGTATACACATGTATACACACACACACACACACACCCTCAAATAAGTTAAGATCAAAAACTAATCTTTAAAAAGCTAACGGCTACATTAAAACAAATCTAAACAGACACATAAACGATCAACTTTTAAACTCAAGGTTTAGATTCAATACTCAAGTACATTATTCAAAACTATTTAAACTCTGAGGGAATTTACTACCCTTCATGTTTACTGACAGAGTAAATAAAGTATATAAAAAATATTTAAAATAAGGCACACATGCAAACTACCTGATAATAAATTAAAAGTATTCACTGATCCCACTTTTAAAAATAAGAAGACATCAGAAAGCCTCCAAGCAAGAGACAAAAATAAAGACCACCAAAAAAAAAATCTATGAAAATCTACTTTTAATACATATTCATGTGCATTTTGGATACTATTTTCTTCACGACAGAAATAAATATTACAAATAACATGATATTTACAAATATACATTTAAGTAATATGTTATAAAAGTAACAATTATCAGAGTTCCATTGTCAGGAAGCATATAACACAGTAACAGAGATAATCCATTGTTATTTATCTGCCAGAGACACCTGCCTGGGTCGCTCTGGAGAACCTAGAAATAGGGAAGACCTTTCTTTTTGCACATCGTCTCACATACAACACGTTTACACAACACCCTTACCCAACTCCTAGAAAAAGGTGTTATGACTGACCAACTCCTTCACTTTTGTTCATGGGAAGTTAAACATTGGGAACATGTCAGTTTGTTAGACTTGAAATTTAATTTCCTAGCATTCTGTAGTCCCAATTTGCTTTTTTTCTTCAGTATTTACAGGTGGCAGCTGTAGAAACTGCTTTGGTAAATCTTTTTCAAAATTATAACTTTGTTTTAGATATGAGTTTTATGCCTGATCTTTTTATAAGAGTCTTACAAGTTACAGACCTCACTCTAACTCTCTCCCTTCCCATTTACTTAATTTACCTGCCTCTTGTCTTCTTTTAAGGACTTGCCAGTGTAAAAGAAGATAGCTTGGCCGAATTACCTCTATTTTAAAACTAACTCTTATTGCTTGCTCACAAATTATATACTCCTGTGCCTAGAAAGGCACTGTTCAACTGTTAAAGCCAGCCAAATCTTAGAGACACTCTGTTTTATGACAAAATCTCTAAATTCAGACACTGGAGATAAGTCTAGCTTGTTAGTTATCTGGATCCTTTTGTACCTAATGCTTTCTCTTCCAGTTTGTTGATGTATATGAAACATTTCAATTCTTTAAGGCTCTTCCTGAAGAAATGTCTTTCAATCTGGCTACCTATTGCTTCTTTTTTAATAAAAATGATGCGCAATCATGCCTGAGAAAATGATGATTCCATGACACAAGGTTAACTATTGAGGCAATCTGATAAACTAATTCATGCTAAAATGATAATGAAAAACAGCATAGTATAGTTTTAAAGATAATGACTATAGGCACAAAGCCTGCCCCTAAGGTAGTCTCTCTAATGCTGTGAATCTGAGTCACTGTACCACGTTAATGGAGAAGCCATTTTATGTCATGTAGCCACCTATTTTGCTCTTGAAGGTCAAACAACCTTGCAACATCTCTCTTTCTAGAGCTATGTCAGGTTAACCCTCTATAACAGTACTAATAGGTTCTCTCTAACAGAGTTGTTCCTGAGCTTCCCAAAGGCTGTACCAGTGCTGCCCAAGTTGGAAAGCTGACAAATATGAGCCTGGCAGTGTGGTAGATGTTTATTGTCTGAAGATTAGTTTGAAAGACTCATTACCAGAGAGCTAAGCAAGAGGTGATGGATTTTTTGGCCACAGCAACTCATTATAGTCTACATATGCATCTAAGGATGGTGACTTGCAGCTATGGAGAGAGTATACCCAGATGGAACTACAAATCTTGGGAAGTGTAGAAAGGTACCAGGTTACATGATAAAAAATTACTCATCATTGTAAATTATTAACATTTACCTCCTCAAAAATTTCTATCAATAAATACATCACAACCAAAAAAATATACATTTTCTTTTACAGAATAACTAAAAAGTGGCTAACCTCAAACAGACTAGCTGTGAGTTCTTCTAATTCTTGTCCCAGCTGATCTCGGACTTTTGAAAGCCTCTCACATTCTTCATCTTTTAGTTTCAGTTCCTATGAAAAATATGAGTTTAGTATGCTTACAAGTGAAATTGAACATAAGATAATCTTATAAAATCCTGACTTTTTTCCTCATTGTTTCCACTGAAGCTCTATGCTGCACCTCTTTACAATGTGGAGGTGAATCCCACTGAGGCTTCTCAAACGTTTTAATATCCGAGCACAAGTTTTGGCGAGTTCTCTAAAGCTGAAAAGATTTCACGCGTGGAACTGGTGAGCAGACTCCATGACATTTATCCAAAGACCAAACTAAATCCAGAGTAGGGTTTGTGGCTCGAATCTGGTTGGCTCCTGGGTAACGAGTAGGGGCAGAAGGAAAAGGGAGGTGCACAAGACAACAAACCACACTCCTTAATGAACTGAATTACATCCATATTGATGTACAGTCTCATTATAAATGAAATCAGAAGCTATAAATACAATGCATTTTAAACAGAAAGGTTGAAGACAGATTTATTATGTGTTCAAAGGAAATAAGAAACACCATTAAATAGGATATTAGTTATTTGGCTTTAGAGTACTCCTGGTGGTGAGTATATACAAATAGACCACTTTTATTAAAGCAGCTTGTATGATATCTACAGCACTAATTAAAGCAGTAGAGAAATCCTGAAAACTATGCCTTTCCACTCAAAGCTACCTCGCATTTATTTTGCATACAGTATGTTTGTATACATTTATATACATACACATTGTCTCCCCTGATAGAACATAAGCTCCAGGAAGCCAAGCCATTTCATTTTTGTCTTTATATGTATCCCCCCCAGACCTAACACAATGGCTGGTTATAAGGGGTGCTCAAGAGATGATTGTTAATTTAAATAACTTAGCAAGAGTCTCCAAACTAATTCACTATATAGTTTGACACTCAGTGACTTCAAAATGAAAGTAGACAGTAGACATAAAGGAGAATGATGAAAACTATATTGGAAAGTATGTTTGGGGAATAAGAAATAAAACAGGTCAAAGACTCGCAGCCAACTCAGAAGCCAAATCCTATATACCGAGAATATTTCTTCAGGAAGAAAACTGGAAAACACCCTGGTAATAGACTGAGAGCACAAACATTATCATAAAATCAAGAGTCCTATAATTACGACAGGAAATGATTAAAGACACAACAGTCATAACAAGAAACAGTTGTGTGTCATCAGGACCACACTTAGCATAGTGCCTGGCACACAGTAGGCACTTAATAAATGCTAGCTGACTGACCACAGCCAAAAGTTAAAAAAAAAATTGGAAGAAAGGACAAAAGGTGAGAAGATGACACTGCATTCAACTAAAGTTGCACCAAAAAATCACCTGACAAAGACAAAGTCAACTCCAGGAAACATGAAAAGGAGAAAAGTAAAGACTCTGATTCTATTACTATATCCTTGAGAAGTTTAAATACCACAGAACACTCATCACAACAAGGCGGTTGGAAAAGAGACCTTGGAAAACTGAGTTAGCCAGCAAACATTTCATCCCCATATCAAGCAGAAAAGTCAAAGGCAATTCACACATAATAGAATAAATTCATTTGCAAAAAAAACTTTAGAGGATGATGTCAGAATGATAAGAACACCATTATCATATGAAAAAAATGAAAAAACAAGTCTATAAGGTTGGCATGAGGTATACCTAAGCCACTTATTTTTAAAGTACATGTAAATGAAATTCAACATTAAATAGAATTGCCCAAGTGTATAATGGGACAAAAAGAGTAGAACCTTCATGCACAGCAGAAGTCATATGTGCTCCTGCCAGAATAGGATCATAGCACAGAAGATTAGCCAGGAAAAGGATCAAGAACTAATCAAATACACACACACACACACACACACACAATCTATAGTGAGGACAACACAATTTTAAAAGGCATAAAGGGATCTCAAACAACAAATAGAACAAAACCAGTGACCTAAATGACACGGGCAACCATTAAACAACATTTCTTCTTCCTCCTATTTTTATGAGAATGATATCTCCGTGGCAATATGAGAAGGTAATAGATAAGCATTTTAAAGTCAATTTTCTATATCTTTATAATCACATAACTGAATAAGAGCAGTAGAGAATGTAAGATCCCACTATGTTTATTGAATTTTGAAAAATCGTTTACCTCAGGGCAAAATGGAGTCTTAAAGGCTCTTGTCAGACAAGGCATCTCCTATGTGTACATTAAAATCACATAAGACTATGCCAGATGTAACAAATAAAAGGATTTTGTTCAATCATCTGCTAAAACTGACATTCTGTGCAAAGTCCAAAAAAAAAAAAAAGATTCCTGTTTGACGGCAAAGTTCTTTCTCTAAATTCTATTTGCATACAACATTCTCCTAACCACACTGAACATGTTAACAGTTAAAGAAAAAATTCTCTTCTAATGAAATCCAGAGATGTTCAAGAGATGGGCCTACTCATCTACACAGAAGAAACAATGGAAATTCCTGTTGTTCAGATACAAGCAGCTGGACACGAAGCCTCAAGAAAAGTGCTTCTCAAAGGGTGCTTGTGCAACAAATTTCATTAAGTGTGCTGTGAACTTTTATATCTTAAGCATATTACAGATAAAAGAAATGTTATAAATAATTTTATTTAACCAGACCTTTAACTAATAAAGAACACAATAAAAATAGCTGCCCTTACTGAAAAGAAACTTTGGATACTCAGGTCTTCCAACTTTCCCAAATTTAAAAGCCTGTATTGTGGTTCCTCACAACAAAGAATACTGTTTTATAAAAGAAAAATAATGTAAAAACAACCACTGTGGAATACAGTCAAGCAATATGTGCATCTTGGACACAGGAAACCAACAGATCATCCCTGAGGAACCAGAACTGAAAAAGAAGAGGAGACTGCCTTAGGTCCCATGAAGAAGCCACACTCTCCTTTGACACTGCCCCAACCAGAGTCACCCTTGCATACCACTTAGGCTTCAGGTGATGCTATTAATAAGTAAATGGCCATGTAGTGGAACCACAGGAGCCAGGCTCAAATGCTGGCTCCTCTTTGGCCAAGTACCTCAAGCTCTCTGGACTCTAACAGAGAATACTCTGATTGTAAATAAGGTAACGCCCAACTCTTCAAAATTACAAATAACCCAAAAGAGCCAAGGAAAGGCGCATGTCACAAAAGCAGTAAGGAGCAGAGTTAATGTCTGAAGGCAAGTTTCCTGTAGATTTAAAGCTGGCAGGGACCTCAACAGTCGTCTAATTCAACTCCATCATTTTGCAAATGATGAAGAAGCCAAGGTTAGTGCCTTGAGGTCACAAAAATCATGAGGAGAACAAAGCAGAGATTTGAACAAAGGTCTTTCTGCTGGGATACTCAACATTGATTCAAGCTCTAATACTGGATAATGAGCATATAGCTCTTGTGTTGCACTGACACCTGCAAAATATTAAAAGACCTACAGAAGGAGCTCCAGTACCTTGGGCAGATCCTCTACAGAAGATCTGTGGGATATGGGGGGAAATAGAGGCAGCTAGATGGCTCAGCGTAAAGAATGCTGGGCCTGGCATCAGGAAGACCTGAGTTCAAATCCAGCCTCAAACACTTATTAGCTGTGTGACCCTGGGCAAGTCACTTAACCTCTGTTTGTCTTAATCCACTGGGGAAGGAAATGGCAAACCTCTCCAGTATCTTTGCCAAGAAAATTACATGGACAGTATGGTCCACCAGGTCATGAAGAGTCTGACACAGCTGAATGACTGAACAGTAAGAAATGGAGGGTGGGGGTGGGGTGGGGAGATGCCACAAGGGATCCGAAGGCATACATACATGCTTTGAAATAGGCATGACTGCAGAGAGTGCCCACCTCCATAAGCCCACAGAGCCACTGAAATGCACCATCTCATAAAGAACACATGTTCCAGGATGCCTATGGTCACTGCTAATAATTCATTAATTATGGCCATTTAAATTTTGTTGACTACAAAGGTAGAAATAATGCATTTAGGTAACCTACATCATCGTGCAGGGAACCTGAATCAATGTTGTGACACCCAACTAGGGCACAGAGTGCTAGACTAAGGAATCTACAAAATCTGAGCTCCAATCTGACCTTGGACACTTACTAGCTATGTGACCTTGGGCAAGTCACCTGTACTCCGCCTGCCTCAGTTCCCTTGTCTGTTAAATGTGACAGCCCAGAGGAAGCATGTACCAGTTTCACTGTTAAATGGGGGCACTTACAGTTTGTCACAAATAATGAGGAAAAATACTTTAAAATTCATTTCAGGAATTTTTTTTTGTTTCTAAGTTATAAAAACCAGTAATAGTGCCTTATCCCAAAAGAAGCACTTCAACATTGATTCTATATGTAAGATATCAAGTGCTCACTTGTTAGGAAATATTTAAGAAAAGGTTAAATATATCTTATTAAGAATATCCTCAGTATATCAAAGGCAGGATGACTTCAGAGAGAGCTGCTATTCATTTTATCTTTTTCAAAACATGTTCCTAGTAATAGGTACTTTATGCCCCCCCCCAAAAAAGAGGGAGTATCTCAATGTGGAACCCAACAGAAATCTTTAAACATGCACACTTGCATACCAATGTCATGACCTTCAGTCAATGCTGAAAGGGTTGTTGAAAGACAGGTACGCTAATGCACTGTTGATGGAACCTTAAATGAGTACAACCATTCTAAAAAAGCAACTTGGAATTATGCAAATAAAGAGCCTTTGACCTGGGTTCCATATATATGAAAATATTTATACAAGTCTTTTTGTGGTAGCAAAGAACTGCAAAGTAGGTTCTCATCAATTGTGGAAAGGTTAAATAAATTGTGATACATGAATGATATGGAATATTATCATATTATAAGAAACAATGAATATGATAAATAAAAAGAAGAATGATCTGATGCAAAGTTAAGTAACCAAAGCCAGAAAAACAATATGCATAATGATTACAACAATGTAAATGGAAAGAACACCACCCAAACACCTGAAACTAAATCTTGTAAATTATAAAGAGAAAGCTGTCTCCCAAAGAAGAGAGAT